TTTTGGTGTTTTTCAATTTTACGCGGTCGAATTGAGCTTATTTTTTGTACTTTTCAATTTTAAGCTGTCAAATTAAGCTTAGTTTTGAACGTTCAAATTTTGCGCGGTTAAATTAAGCTTAGTTTTGAACGTTCAAATTTTACGCGGTTAAATTAGGCTTAGTTTTGAACGTTCAAATTTTACGCATTCTCAGAATGTTCGGTAATATGTTTATTGTTTGTGATGTGTGTCTATGTATGTATTAACACGATGTACTGAAGGGGGTGAGAATAGCTTGAGCTACCTCATCCCTTTGTGTGTATTTTACCTCAATAAACTTATTTCAATTTCAATTTTACGCGGTTAAATAAATTGTTGTCGCACGAAAGTTTCAAGCTGGGATTTTAATGGTAATTCATATTGTGCGTGATGCAGATTACGGAGTCTACGGAGACTACGGAGTCTACGGAGACTACGGAGTCTACGGAGACTACGGAGACTACGGAGTCTACGGAGACTACGGAGACTACGGAGTCTACGGAGACTACGGAGTCTACGGAGTCTACGGAGACTACGGAGACTACGGAGTCTACGGAGTCTACGGAGACTACGGAGTCTACGGAGACTACGGAGTCTACGGAGTTTACGAAAGACGAGACACAGACGTGCCGGAAAGTGAGCTTTTATTGCAAATAAAGTTCACTCCTTGCAACATGGTGTTTTATAAAGCTATTCTCACTGTAGCTCAACTCCGTCTAATAAAGATCTTTGTTTCCCGTCTAAGATGGCGTCCACGATGGTTCCTGTTCTGTCTCTCAGCTGTGTCATATTGGATCATTAAGCGAACTAATCTTGTAAGGAAACGATCTTCCTATTCCCCACTTACTTACCTAATTGTGCTTGCGGGGGTTGAGCTCTGGCTCTTTGGTCCCGCCTCTCAACTGTCAATCAACTGGTGTACAGATTCCTGAGCCTATTGGGCTCTATCATATCTACACTTGAAACTGTGTATGGAGTCAGCCTCCACCACATCACTGCCTAATGCATTCCACCTGTTAACCACTCTGACACTGAAAAAATTCTTTCTAACGTCTCTGTGGCTCATTTGGGCACTCAATTTCCACGTGATACGAGGTCTATGCAACAATCTCTAGCACAGCATCTTGGTTGAAAAAAAACACTCCTACCAAACACACACCGAAACTACGACGTTGGTACAACGTTCGAACAAGTTTTAACACCTCCTAACCAGTTATAACAACCAATATAGCAAGTTGTAACAACGTTCTAATACGTCATAAACACGTTAAGCCAAGATGTAACAACTTTATTACAAGTTGCAACAAGCGGAAAATAGAGACAGTTTCGGTTTGTGTTTCCAGGGTATATGCAATCCTTACAGCATCTTCATGAAATCCGGAAGCATCTTATAGGAGATTATTTCATCTTAACCTCCTGATATGTACTCAGCATCCGCGAGCAATATTTTAACTCTGCTAAAGTCAATGCAGAGAATGTGAATTCAGTGAACCACGTTGATACTAATACCAAGAACATGAACAAATCCATTAGGGGCGTCATGAGGGTTCGAACCTCCGTACGGGATGTTCCCAGCTGTGTGTACTAAGAACATGTTTGTGATATCAGAGAGACGAACTTGAGTTTACCGACTCGTCACCATCAAGAGACAGGGAACTATCACGATTGATTGATGAAGATTAAGCCACCCAAAAGGTGGCACGGGCATGAATAGCCCGTAAGTGGTGGCCCTCTTGAGCCATTACCAGTATCAAGAGCTGATACTGGAGATCTGTGGAGGTGCGACTGCACCCTGCGTGACGGGAGATGTCTCCCGTGAACTATCAAGAGTTGTTGTTGTTATAGATTCAGCTACTCGGAACAAGTTCCATGTAGCACGGGCTATGGTGAGCCCGTAACTTACCTGGCACAGGAGCGTTGCCATCCAACTATCAAGAGAGAGCACCAAGACTATATAGCACTGGGAAGGGGTCAGGATAAGGATTTGAGGTGGGAAGGGGGGGTAAGGAATAGTGCCCAACCACTTGGACGATCGGGGGATTGAACGCCGACCTGCATTAAGCGAGACCGTCGCTCTACCGTCCAGCACAAGTGGTTGGGTTCACCATTAAGAGAGATCAGTCTTAAAGGTGATGATTGAGGATGAAGCAAGACCTCAGCAATCACAGCAAAGGTCATTAACTTTCCTCTGTGGGTAGACAGTCTGCCGTAGGAGTGAACGAAGCAGTAAATCAATTCAAGAATTTACTATAACTTAGCGCCTGTGCAGCTGCAGGTCGCTTGATCTGAATACAATCTCGCTTAATTTATTTGGATCAAACTTCACAAACTGTCGATTGTTCAGAGTGTCACATTGAATGTTATATTTTAAATCAACATTTTACATGCACTTCTGCCAAATCAATCACGTCCATTGCTTAAAATGTGATTTGTTCTCTTCTTGCATTCGAATCGCACCTATTAAAGGCGATTCGAACTCGCATACAAATAATGAAAAACGGAAACAGAACACCAAACCTCTCCTACACTCACACACAGAGATCACACTAACGTGATGCATCAAATGAACAAATCCACAAGGGCCGTGACGAGGATTCGAACCTGCGTCCGGGAGCATCCCAGACACAGTAGCTCAGTCGATTAAGGCAGTGTCTGGAATGCTCCCAGACGCAGGTTCGAATCCTCGTCACGGCCCTTGTGGATTTGTTCTCTCCTACACTCCTACACTTAACTACACACACAAGTCTTCGAATATCAGAGATTAACCCCTAGGCTGCTGAGAACGATCTTGAGCGTTCTGTGCCCCTATTTTTGCAGTTTAATAGTGTGATTTCATTCCAAAATAGTCCTTGTACATCTAGGCATTTTCCAGAAAATATCAACCACTAATGACGTACAGGTTTGGCCCTTTCGGGGCAAAACCAAACCTAACCCAACCTAATCTAATCTAACCTACCCTACTAGACAAAAATGACGGAGAAGAACTGGTTGACTGGTTTGTTGCGGACTATTCTTGTGTTTGTGTCTTTTCATTATCAAAAGAATTATGTATAATGTGAAGAACACGTCACTAAGAGCTGTATCTCCTGTTTACACGCCACTAAGAGCTGTATCTCCTGTTTACACGCCACTAAGAGCTACATCTCCTGTTTACACGCCACTAAGAGCTGTATCTCCTGTTTACACGCCACTAAGAGCTGTATCTCCTGTTTACACGCCACTAAGAGCTGTATCTCCTGTTTACACGCCACTAAGAGCTACATCTCCTGTTTACGTCATAATATGAAGCTTGCAGACTTCTCCAACCAATCATGATAACATTCGCTTTGATGTGTATTCAATTCTCACTGTGTGTACGCGTTAGAGACCCTAGACTGCTATCTAAGGTGAAGAGGCACAGTAACGTAACTTTACCTCACAAATTATCGAGAACAGCAGCTTCCGTACACTGTACAGTGACCCCGGTCAATCCTCCCCCAACCAGGATACGAACCCAAACCAAAATGCTCGCGATGCGCCAGGCCAGTGTCTTACCAATGCGCCACTAGGACTACAACCCCTGCAATCGATAGATCATATTGACCCATACGAGGTTGTAGTGACCTCGTGTGGGTTAATAGAACTTGTACCATGACACTAATACACCATAGACGTCATCAATACAATAACGAAAAAATTCAAATTCAAATGTTTATTCAGGTAAAGTATTTACATACATGAGGTTATACAAAAATTGATTTATAGATAGAGCTAGTACATACAATGCCTAAAGCCACTATTACGCAAAGCGTTTCGGGCAAAAGTTCAATCAGAAAGGAAAAAATATAAAAATAAAACTTTTTTTTAGTTTTTTTTACAATTTTAAAGTGAAGATCTGCCAGTGACAGCATATACATTACCCGGATGAGGCTTCCTTTCTTTTTCAAGAATGATTCTGGCAGCCAAATGGTGCATTTATTTACAGAACAAATAGCATATTGTTTTCGAATGTCTTTTTTTTTTTTAATGTGTAAATGTCTGAATAAAAATATTAAATTCTGCGAGTTATTTTGACGAATATGAAATTAAGAAAACAGTATGAAATGATATCTCTTGATGATAATGATTATCTTGAGGTTATCTTGAGATGATTTCGGGGCTTTTTTTTTTTAGTGTCCCCGCGGCCCGGTCCTCGACCAGGCCTCCACCCCCAGGAAGCAGCCCGTGACAGCTGACTAACACCCAGGTACCTATTTTACTGCTAGGTAACAGGGGCATAGGGTGAAAGAAACTCTGCCCATTGTTTCTCGCCGGCACCTGGGATCGAACTCAGGACCACAGGATCACAAGTCCAGCGTGCTGTCCGCTCGGCCTCCATGATGACATATTTTATGGGGTAGTTTAGGCATTCCTAAAAAAGGTAGTTACCCTGAAGGTTTAATTCTTATATTCATCAGAACACAAGAATTAAGAAAACTGCAAAGTCCTATTGACCTTATATGGATCAATACGATCTATCTATTGCTGCGGTTGCAGTCCCAGTGGCGCAGTGGTTAGACACTCGCCTGGCGCTTTGCGAACACTTTGGTCTGGGTTCGTATCCTGGCCGGGGAGAATTGACCGGGCACCAGTCCTTAACTGTTGCCTCTGTTCACCCAGCAGTGAATGGGTACCTGGTTGTTAAACGATTTGGCGGGTCGTATTCCGGGAAAAATTAGGATTAATAAGGACCTGCCCGAAGCGCTATGCTGCTAGTGGCTGTACAAGAATGTAACAACTCTTGTATATATATATATATATATATATATATATATATATATATATATATATATATATATATATATATATATATATATATATATAATACAAATCTAGGTGGTGTTAACCCTCCAGGGGTCGATAGGCCTTAAAAGCCTAACACCATAGTTAAGGTGATCATGTTAGCACAGCGAACGCTGTTCTAACATACTATGATTGCTGTAAATTACGATGCAATACATGAGTTCCTCTAAGACCTCTAAGGAGAAGTTAGCGGGAAAAATTGGCGGGAAAAGTTGGCGGGAAAAATTAGCGGGAAAAATTGGCGGGAAAAGTTGGCGGGAAAAATAGACGGGAAAAGATGGCGGGAAAAATTGGCGGGAAACATAGGCGTAGATAATGGCGGTTAATCTTTGTGTATTGCCATTATGTGCTTGCATTTTCCTCCACTGGCAAATTTTGTAAAACTAAGGGCAGGTTCAACACTCCACATTTATACATAATGTGTATTCATAACTATTGCTGCGTTTGGAGGCACTTAGTTTAGTATCTGGTCTGAGGAGGAAAGAAATCTTGCTTTCGTAAATATACTGTTTGGAACCTCGCGGCTCCTGATGACGTCACGCTAGACGGGACCGCAGGACGCACTTATTCCTCCGCCAGAGTCAAGTAGTCCCACCAGATGGTGGCTTTTGGATCAATTTTGAGTGTTGGTCTATCTTAGTTTGACATGTTTTCTTATAAAGTAACTATGTTGAGTCACAATAACGTGGCTGAAGTCTGTTGACCAGACCACACACTAGAAGGTGAAGGGACGACGACGTTTCGGTCCATCCTGGACCATTCTCAAGTCACAATCGACTTGAGAATGGTCCAGGATGGACCGAAACGTCGTCGTC